ACCCCCTTTTTTTTTTTTTTTTTTTAAAAATTTTTTTTGGCCTTTCCCTTTTTTCCCCCCTAAAATTTAAAAAAAAAAGGCCGGGGAAAAAAAAAATTTTTTGGGGAGAAAAAAACCCCCAAAAATTTGCGCGGGTTTTCACTTTACACCCTTTTTATTTTTGAGCGTTGGTCCATGTCCAGGACGAAATTTCAATATCCTACCCACCCATTCACATTCAGATTCTCCAGACATTTAGCGATTGCGGACTCACAAGAATCGAACCCATACTTTCCTTTGGACGAACGAGCAGCACATAATATAATTCATCTCGAGTAATATACTGGTATTAATAGCGTCACCAGCGTTCGTATTTACCTTCGTGAATAATGGCAAACTGTGACAGGTCATTCTTGGAAGCTTCAAACCTATTTCGAAGACCATGAAACATCAGAAATCATCCATAACCTACGCAAGCGTTTGTCACAGGCATTGTTCTCTTGAGAACCGGTGGGATACTCCAAAAGACAACGACACATCATCACGGGCGTCTTCGCGGAATTGGACCTTGTGTTGACGAGATAAAAGGCATTTTTAGTTATGGGCGATCGCGACAATGGTTGCGTATTCCAGTAACGTTCAGATTTCTCGCGATCGACTTGATATTCGACGTCTGTAAGGGTTATTATTGAGATTCTGGAGGCGTTATACAAATTGTTTCGTATTGTTGATTTTTAAGGCAGGATGAGACCTAACCGTTTACATGGAACTTCAACTAGAATTATTTGTGCAACGCATGTAACGACAAAGACGTTTGGATTTACACATAAATATTGTGTTTGAAAATAATTTTCAATATGATTACACAGGCGGAACGTTTCTACGAATCCAGATTTTACACGTTACATGAGAGTTCACGTAACGTGTGATTCTGTAATTCTTTGTAACACTAATCTAATTCAAAGTCCTTTACTGTAAGCAAAATAGATTTGTTTAGGAGATAAAACTGGTAGAATCAGATCTTAGAATAGTTAAGTAAAAACTTTAACGGTTTAAAACGCGATATATTAGTTAAAATGCCGTGGTCACGGCTGTTGCAAGGCATCCGAAACGTCGGACCGAAGTTAAAAATCATTTTCAAATAAGTTTAACTAAAATATCGCGTTTTAAACCGTTAAAAGTGTTTTATTTAAATGTGTACGACTGCGTGAACTCTATGTACGCTCGATAATTTGGTCGCATATGTAAGCATAAGATATTGGAATGTTAATTACCAAATTATTGTACTCTTTTGAATATATTCCATGGTAACGGATACCACATTAGTCATTAGTGTGGACTATACACCCTGTACACAAACCCTGGGGGCTAAATTAGTATAGCTAGTTTCTCAAGCACACACGAGAATATCATTTCACCTGACATCCGTACAAAAGGTGAAAGTTATCGTCCGCTAAGTGCCCGGTAATTCTATGAATAATTCTGTAAGTATAGCTTTCATCTTTACAATGTCTATATTAAAATATATTTTACGTTTAATGGAAGTTTCAAAATGTTGATTTATGTAACTAGGATAAGAATACGACAATATAGGATTGTCTTTATGAGACACATTATATAAAATGAGTTTTAATCCGTCAAAAGTGTTGAGAGATTAGTATATGCTCATCGAAATTTGTGATTTACCAATACAAGCGAAAAAAAGAACACGTACATAGGGACTTATGAACTTAGCAGTTTTATACACGAAACCTCTGAACGAATTTTTAATATAAGAAGTTATTTAAGAATACCCGCTGAAAAAAACAACGCGTACCACCGTCGGAATAAGCAAGCTTTTTTATAATATAAGATAAAATAAAGTAGCAATAAAAGTATATACTTCGAAACATCATTCATGTGTTCACGATGACTTGAAAGCAAACAGGTAAATGAAGACACTGACGGCAACAAATGCATTATAATTGCTACGTCGTGTTGATATATTCAATCTAGGCAGTTATTTCCTTGCAATATTTGTCTTAATCTTCACATAGGAAGATTATATACATATGCACTAACTATGTAAATTATTTGATATACACGATTGTACTTGCTATTAACATCTACATGGAACATACATTTCATATCAAAATATATAGAAATATTGTCATAGCAGAAACGATGTTATCTTTCTGTCAGTTACAACTTTTGAGTTCTCTATATAACTACGTTCTAAAAGTGAATTTCGCGGCATTTGCAGGTTTTTTTGACAAGTAAACATTGATGTGCCTATTTAAAGGAAGATATAATAGTCATCATATAAACACCATTAAATCAAGTTCCTGTATAAAGAATCGCTCAGAATTTTCATTCTAAATACATGACGTAGATGCACCTAAAAATCTATGATACTACAGATTATCAATTACAATGCATTAAAAAGCTGTACCCTAGTTCCTATGCAGTGAAGCGTCAAGTGGGGATCTTATGAACTGTGAAAACAATAGAAGAGAACTAGTTACATTGCAATATAATGGGCAGTCGCATGTATTTTAGATAAAAATACCTTACCAAAAAAAAACGTTTGTAGAAAATTGACGTATTATTAATTGTATGTCCTTCATTTATCGTTTGTTGGTGAATTTATTTTATTTAAGCGCAATTGACAAGATTGATAATAAATAAAAGTTTTTGTAATATTTTTTCTTTATTCCGCATGAGTCGTAAATAATACTTCTACGGTCCGAACCATCAATTTCTTTAAAAAAATACCTTTTAAACAACTTGTAATGCATCCTGAATTAACACAAACACATCACTTAACACACACAAATTGAGTCACAATCCACTGGAATTTCAAACGAACGACACGACCGCACGCCAAACGTGTTTGATGAGTTCTGAAATAACCTTGCGTGGGAAAGAGATGGGGAAAAAACAGGTCTGCGCCGGCGCACAGGTGGGAGGTGGCAGACAGGTATAACGTACCCCGGTTTAGGGGTTTTTTACGGTACGTTTTTATTCTTTATTTTGTAATTTTTGTTAAGTTCGGGGAGGTATTTTGAAGATGGATTTGTTAAGACTTCCGTATTTGTTATGACTTATTATGCCTATATAAAATTAAAAGTTGCAGTGGTAAGAATATTATTAATAATAAAAATACTTTGCCAGAGTGAACTAATTTTGCGTAAACATTCACGCCCTTTGGAAAATGCACTAAATTCTTAAATAATAAATTTAAACTTTTTTATATTGCAACGGTAAACTGTAAAGATATGTTGTTGTCAAATCTACGTTTGTTCTATACGGTACAAATAATTAAAAAATACCTATATAGTCTACAGAAACCTAAGTACACTTATAAATGTCACTTGATTAAGCTTAATATAAATGTACTTCAAGTTCTAGAATTGGTATTTTAAGCAAAGCTAAAGCGTTTGTTTAAACGCGCTGAACTACTGGCTCGAATTAAAAAAATATTTTTGTATTGTATTGTAGTATATAATAGGAACGAATAGACAAAAGGAGCATATAAAAAAGGGGGAAATTTTTTATTGAGGGTTTTCGTTGCGTGTACCGCGAAAACGACTCATATAAGAGTCGGTTAAAATCTCGCCAGCTATACTCATAATCGACTGTGCAACCAATAATAGTAATCTGTCCAGTCATGGGCCGTGTCATATTGTCACGTAGCAGACGAACGATGTAGCCAAAGCACGTAACTATAATTCCAGATAGAGGAATTCGAAATTGCACCTTTAAAATATTGTTCATAATATATTGATATATTGGACTCTTAGTATTTGCCTTGGTACGTAGTGGTATCCCGTTTTCCCCTTGTATGTGTCCCGTGTGTATGAACATATTTCTAAATCCGCTTCGCTGATCGATTTAATCTGCCGGCAAGTTGATCTGACTTCTATGCCCGACCGAAACAATTTTTCAGTTTTTACGGATTTCCAACATATCTCTTGAAACCCACTTAAGCTAGAAATCTACGGAGGCAACATAATATATTATAAGTACCTAATTAACTGTACAACAACTTACTTTATAACAACAACAACTTTCCTACTAACGAAATTAAGTTAAGTAAGTTCTGTCTCAATCTAGAACCGTCCTCTGATATAACAAAATGGTAAACAGTATATTTGCGATTTTATTTCAGTCTGTGGATTTCCGAACGTCTGAAGTCAAAGTAATCGATAGCGCATCTTGTTAAGATACCATATAGATGTTTCGGATAACCACTTTTTATCTCCACGACTCCATGCTTATCTGAACTCCTTTAAAAAAAATAACTAACAACAATACTTACGATTGTTGTAAAATATAAGGGTTTTCCCAAAATAGTTGTTCCGCTAAAACGTAATAAAACTTTATGCTCGACCACGACTTAACTTTAATTGTGTTTTAGCATTTTAACGTGTAACTGTATACCAACCTAAAAAATAAACAGGTGTTTCACATCTGTCTTTACTCTTAAGTACTATGTCGGTCACAATATTCATGGCGGCAAACTATGGATTGTTTAAATAAGTGGTTTTGTATCGTCGTCTTTCCGAATTAAGACGACAAAGGAAAGCGATATGATTTCAAGTTTAAAACATACGTCGTATTATTAGCTTTTATATAAAGTAGAATTAGAGTCTGTAAAACCTTTACGTTATATTATTATTATCAAATAATTTTAATTTAAATAAAGAAAAATACTTTTCAATGAACTTAATTTTGCTTGTCTAACTTTTTTTAACCATAAGTACGTAATTATTATACAAGTGATTCCTTAAGACTTCCTTCCATCTGACAATAGCCCACCACATTATTTTATCGTTTTAGTATAAGAGAGAGAAGAAGTTTTTATATTACTATATATTGATCCTATTCTACCATCTAGCAGCACACAGCATTCTTTCATACTGTTAAGATTAAACTATGTTTTATTTTTATGTTGTATATTTTTGTGTGGCTTATGGTAGTAAATTGTAACTAGTAGTAGAAGAACCTATCGAACATGCCAATGACCAAACTACACTCACCGATTCTCCCCCGGCGTCAGCTTATTATCTTGCACAGCACCTCGGTTCACCGTTTCCCCCAACAGTTTCTCACACCTCCCGTTACTCAGGTGCTCCCTGGCCACATTCAACGCATCACTAACACTATCACACTTATCACTCAACTCGTCTTGACTCTTGTCATCTGTCTCTTTGACGCCGTTGGCTATGACCGGCGCTGGCTTCGCTTGCAGAGCCTTCGGTTGCGCTTTGGGCGAGGAGGTAGCTGGTTTACTCTCTATCGCTCCGTTTTCATTGATGGAAGTCACGTAGACTGTGGAGTTGGCTATGTAGCCGTTCAGCTCTTTGCTCTCGGGTTGTGTCCGTTTTCTTCTGTTTAACTGGAATAGAAAATGCTTGTTAACTAACGTACTATAATGGTTGTAGTATATGGCTGTGCTATTTCACCTTCAATCAAGAAAATCCTATGCTTATGCTTCTCTTATGTCATAGAAAACCGAACTATTCGATTGCGTATATCATTTGAATACTAGCTTTGCTGTAAACGCAAATTCAGGGCACATCAATTATTGCCGGTAGTTAACGAGAGTACATATTTTTATAAAAAATTTTAAAAGGTTCGAAACCCGAAATATATTAGTAACTTTTTTTTACTGCAGCTCAACGCTTCGGATGCTTAGCAGCAGCGGTGGTCATGAGAGGAGCTAAGGCTTTGTTACTCTTATTTTTTTCAACAAAATCGAGAAATGAAAGGGATTAGCAGACAGAAAATATACCGTAAAATATATGTCGGCTTAAACCGAGCCAATTAATCGGTTATAAAATCCCTGCTAAGTTGTTTTTTCCAAAGCCTACGATGGCGACGCCCATCGAGATGTAAAATTAAGGTATCTCGCGCTTGGAGCATAAATATATAGATATATATATAATTATTAATTATAATATTATGAATATTATTTCCCATATGTATAGTTAACGTACATACATTATTGGGCTATGATGGTATATCACGCAACATGAACGGAATTTTAATATAAAGTTTATTGCAAACGTGAATTCCTATTGGAAATATAATAGACGTAGGTAGACCGTAGAACGTTGAAGCTACACAACAATAGGTCATCATGTATTGCGGAACTGTATTACCGAGTATTACCACAGAAATTGGAATATTGCTGGTTATGTAAATATGTACTAGAGCGTTCGTTATATGTATATCCTTCCAGCTAGTGCATTACAACTAAAACATATGCTGGTCAATCTTAGACGAAATACTGTCTATATTAGGCGAGTAGTACACGTTGAAATAAAAATCTTTAACGGTTTAAAACGCCATATATTAGTTAACCGACGGCCCGACGTTTCGGACCGAATCTTAAACAATCTTGAAGATCAATATCTGTTCTGTACTTTTTGAACTTATATGGAAGAATAAAATATTTATCCCCCATAACGTTTATTTGGTATTCCTACAACTACATAGTATACATTGGTTAAAATTTTTAACACATTTAAAAACAGAAAAAAAAAAAAAAAAAAAAAAAAAAAAAAAAAAAAAAAGGGAATTTTAATAGTGTAACTTATTTTTAATCATTTTACCTATGACCCGATTAACGTCTCTGCGTGACCGCGGTTGCTGCGTCCGTAAACGTCGGGCCTGTAGTCAACATAAATTAAAAAAAGTAACAGTTGACTTAGTATATTTTGCGTTTTAAACTTTAAACATTAATGAAATACAACACAATAGGAAGTCTACCTGTTTTTTCAACACAGACTTTATTGTTTGTCAAACATTTAAGTTACCATGTTTATAAACAACAGATTTAACTATTTAAAAGTAAAAACTTTAATATTATATCTTTAAGTCTTCTACCTATACATTAATTTGGTGTTTTGAATCCAACAAAAAAAAAGAAAACATCTTCGTATAGTTTGAGTTTAAATTAAACATTAATTAAATTTTTTATACAGTAATTTTTCCCCCCTCCCCGGGGGGCCGGGGGGAGAGGGCCCCCCTGAGGGAAAGGGCCCCCTTTATTAAAGTTAGCAGTAATTTGTCACCAATATACGTATTTTCTGTGGTGTGTTTTATAAATAATAAAGCAATAATAAATAAATAAATAAAATAAATAAATAAATACAACACAATACGAAGTCTTCCTGTTTTTTCAACACAGACTATTGTTTGTCACATTTAAAATGTATAAACTTACACATGAACAAAAACAGACAGATGTGATAAAATAAAAACAAATAATATTTTTAAGTTGCAAGAAAACATTGTGCAGCAACCGTGCAGCGCCAATTTTCAGTAATTTTTATTTGTTATAATTTGGTCGTCTTTCGTCAGCTGCCCGTCTATGTTATTCTTGGCAAAGACAATTCGCAATTATAAGGTTAAAATGTCAACGTTAAGTCCGAGTCATGTGCATATTATATAATTCTAACTGACAAACAAACGTAATTTATGGCTGCAATTACTCACTCCATTATGGGCTCGTTTCCACTTGTTGTTTTTTGCTAATCGTCTCATCGCTTTCGTGTGAAATGCATAAATTCAAACTACTTATGTCATCTTATTTCAAGTGGGTATGGCTTTTAAGGAGATTTGAGTAACTTTTAAAAGACTTCCATACATAACGTTGATTTTTATACGACTAATATACATAGAATTTAAATAACCGAAGTTCTCTGCGCGACCGAGAGATCCAATGAAAAAATATCAATTCAGATTGCCTGGAAGAGATCGCTTGTTAGCGATAAGGCCGTTTATTTATAAGTTAGTACGTAGTATTTTTCCCCATTAATATGTATTTACTATGGTGTGTATTGTAAATAATAAGGTTATAGTAAAAAAATACTCGCGATTATAAGCGATAGCTACGATTAGATAGTTAGGAGAATAATGTATTTATAACAAGAAGCAAAAGAAAACTAAAATAAGAACTATGATGTTAATCATAGTCTTCTTTGACGTACGTATGAAACGCAAGAAAAGAGAATATAACTCTTCGTGTGCGATCAGACTATCACTTCGATGTTATTTTATACCATGATATAAAAAAAATAAACTCACTTCTAAAGAGAGCTTGGACATATCAACCGGCGTGATCCTCTTGAGAGCCGAGAGCCTCTGCAGCCTCTGTCGGGCCTGCTCCTCCACCGCGATGAGGAAGGCATCCTGAATTATGTTGTGCCCGATGTCCGATACTGGAACAAAATAATAATCATTTATTACTATATATTGGCTGTCTCGGTGTCCCTTCTTAAGTATTGTGTTAAGCGAGAGAGGTCCACGGTTTCAGACCCGAACTCTGGGAAAGAGCAATCGCTGTAGTCGTGATCGCGGGAAACTAAAAATAAGTGCTTAGCAAATCATTTCGCTTTTCAAACCGTTAAAAGTGTTGTACACTGTAGTTTATAATGTACTCTCGAAAACAAGTTAGGGGCGGCAATACTTAGATGAGTCACTTCCAGCTGCGAATTGTTACATAATTCAAAGCCATTACACATTCGGATCGAGTACTGAAATACCTCGAGTCGAAATTAAAACCTATTGTAGATTAAACCCTATTTATTTAACAATACACGCAGTAATTGAATGATAGGATTGAGTGCCAGGCGGAAGAATTGCGTCGCATCAAAGGAAATACATCAGACGGTTATAGTCTTTATTGGGAAGGAAATTGTGTTCGGAATTGCAAGTTCGCTAGTGCATAGTGCGACAATGGGATTCACGCCTTCATGTGAATACGTAATTCAATGTTAGATGCGATCGGAGTTTACTGCGCAGTAATGTCCTTGATGGAAAATTTTATTAGGGACTGCATTAAAGGATTGAATTATAGGAATAAAGGACGAGCGCTGACGCCTAATTCTATGGAGCTGAAGAGTTTGTTTAAACGCGCTAATCTCTGGAACCACTTGTTCGAATTGAAAAAATATTTTTATGTATGTTGGATAAAAAATGTGGAGAAAATGGGAGAAATTATTCATTTTTGGGTGTTTCCGGTGCGTGCGAAAACAGTGCAAGAAATCGAAAATATGCATGATAGAATGATTCCTGTTTAAGTGATCTAAAAAAAGTCCGCAACACTATATGTCTATCTTTAATAGTAACTGCAAGAACGACGGGATGGGACGCGGCCGACTTGGTGGGTAACAGCCTAAGTTTATAAAGATCAAGGGGTTTGCCAAAACGAATTTGTATGCCCAAAATAACGATTCTCGCGGACTAAGTCGTCGCAGTAATTTATAAAGAGGGCAAACAACAAATTAGGTGCCAAAAAAAAATATTCTTCGGGGACGGAGTCGCAGGCACAGCTAGTATTACTCGTATATAAACATCGCTATTAACAAAACTCGCTATAGTCTTGATAAAATAAAACAAGAACTCGTTTTAAGAAGAAGACAAGCGTAGTTCACTTGTTGAAAGGTAAAATACCTCGCCATATAACATTGAAATAAGATGCACTCTCGACCTATTTTAGCAATGGAAATCCAGAAATCCCCAGACTGAAGCAAATAGGCGATTATACTTCACAGCTTTACTACCTGTGTACAGTGGTTAGTGTCGAACGGAATTTCTTGTTCTAAACCGTTAAAAGTCTTCTATTTAAATGTGTACTACGCGACTGGTACAGACGAAGTCTAACATGATTCAGAAAAATGTAAAATTATATTGTATGCATAAATGATGAGGAATTATTTTACACTTCATATTAATTTGGACAAAAATGAGTCGTTACGCGGTACGCACTATTGTTAGCTATAGATAAAAATGTAACTTTATATGCCCGCCACTCAGCGGTTTATTATGCTTAGGTTCTTTATTTACTTTTATTACCGCATGATTTAACCACGATCATTATATTGTATTAATTATACGCTATTGTCTTGTATCATTAAGTTATTTAACATTTTGAATTACTTCTCTATATCTAAGTCAAAAGGGAAACATATTTTAGGTATCTTAAACCGTTTATGCAGCGCACGCATCAGAAACCCACAAAGATAAATAATTATGCCTGTTTTTTCTACTTTTCCACTGCTTCGGGCAACTATCAGTCGCAGCGTGATAACATCTAAACTCTTCCCCATTAAATGATCTAAGCAACGCAAAAAATATTATAATTTTTCAATTCGAACCAGTAGTTCCTCGGATTAGCGCGTTCAAACAAACAAACTCTTCAGCTTTACGATATTAGTATAGAATATATTTTTAAACGAACTGCCCGGGATTATATTGATGCAGTAACATTCCAAAGAATGGCTTTAAGAAGATCGTAAGTTTCAATTGTTCTTCATCGCTTTCGAGAACTCTTTTGTTTTTAATCCCATTGTCTTGGCTCATCCAGGTACGTTAATCTATCGGTTTTCGGAATGTTTTGTCTCGTTTTGCATGAACTGGAACGAAAAAACGTACTAGGAAGACCCTCTAAAAACTTCAGTTACTTCTCTGTTGAGTACGAATTTACTGGCTTCCAAAGGCTAATATACAGTGTATATTATACGCAATATAAGTTTTTTAAAGCTCAAAATATATTTTAAGCGATTCGTTTCTTATAAATTTAGATTAAGATCAAACAGACATTTGAAATAAGATCCGAGAGATATTATAAGCTAGAAAGTATTATTATTTCAGAGGATTATTTTCGTTTAAGTTGTTTTGTTACGATTCTGAAAGATTTGATATTGGGGGAATGGATTTCAAGAAACAATAATATTGTAATTCTCTAGTGAGTTTTCGGTTAGTACCTCGATATTTTAATTATGTCGTAATTATGATGGTAGGTAAACTATCCCAGTGATATAATAACTGAACTGTCAACCTATTTTTTGCTTTGTATATTCAGAAGTCCACAGACTGATACCGAAACGGGATTACTTAACGCCTTTTTCATCTGTGGACAGAATTCCGATATTCCCTACCACCCATTTAATATCCCGATCTCCAGATGACGTCCAGCATATTAAAAAAAAAACATAACTAGAAATATGTTGGACACGGTGGGGATTGAAGCGATAATCCGTTGATTATTAGCCATACGTCGCTTCCATTACACCAACAAGCCCGTAATTATTTGTATCTATACTAATATATAAAGCTGAAGAGTTTGGTTTGTATGTTTGAACGCGCTGATCTCAAGAACTACGGGTTCGAATTGAAATTGTTCGTGTTGGTTAGAGCATTTATCGAAGAATGCTATAGGCTATAAAGCATCGCCCTGCGACTAATACAAGCGAAGATACAGTGATGAATTAGGAAAAAATTGGGAAATTTGTTTATCATTATGGGTTTCCGAGGTTTACGGTGTATATGTATGAAATTTTCGTTCAATGACCTTCACGACTTCAAGCGGCATGTTAACTGGACCTCCTTGAAGATTGAACAATTAATGGTTATATGTTATTTATAATTAATTGTGTAAGAATTATATTTATTATATACTACTTTACTAAAAATCACTTTTTACTGTATGGGGAGTTGAAAACAGCGTGTGAGTGTGAAAGATTCAGAAATGAGCTGTGATTGCTTTATATATTTATTACTATATTATTATTTTTTTATTAAATTTGTTTGTTATTGTATATATATATTTTATGGAATAAATTTTGTGATTTGAAAATGATTCCTCTTTTAATGATCTAAAAAAACGTCCGCGACACTATATGTCTATCTTTTAAGAATAACTTGTAAAAACGACGGGAAGGGACGCGACCGACGTCGTGGATAACAGCTTAAGTTTATAAAGATGAAGGGGTTTGGGGCAAAAACAAACTTGGATGCCCAAAATAATGATACTCGCGGACGAAGTCTCACTCACTCATTAACATTTCGCGATGTACAGGTTAAGCACTGGTGCGTACGTTGTCAACCGGTAAGCTGCAAGCACAGTAATAATTGTACGTATTATGGCGAAAGCGTTGTCATTGTACCATTGTCACTTAAATCCACTATCCACTCAGCTAACGATGCTATCTTGCGATTTATATAATAACCGTGTTATCCTAACGCTAAACGACAGTGGAATGTCAAAATAAACTGTAGCGTTCTTGAAATAAAACCTGGATTCCTATACAGGTATTGTCATCGCAGCCTGGCATTGTAAATTAGCAGTAAATGTATGTGTGGTAAGGTTTACATTTCTTTGTTTTTATATGATCGTTTTAGCGTCCACGTATGGAACCAGTTTTTTACAGTTCATAGAACTTACAGTGGAAGTGTCTTCAACGGTGTGCGTTATGGATCCAACATTTTTCAAATAGAATTAAAATCTCAATATATTCGGAAAACGTTACTAATATACTGAAATTATGCACCAGGTTTATTATGAACTTTAAGTAATAGCATAGAATACTGATTCGTCTAATTATGTATTTTCGCAACTGATAGTTAGCTTACTGTGCACAAACATTCCTCGGAACGGTACACAATTACAAAAAAGTAGAAGGCTGTATGTCTCGCATCTTTGCTCGTACTAGACTATCCTTATCAAAGGAGTGTGCATTTTGAAATCGTTATAACGCTGGACCAAAGTTAGGGCTTTGAAAGCAAAAATTGTTTTCCGTCGTTAAGGATGACAGAACCTTAAAGATGATGTAATAAGTTAAATAGTCGTTTAATTTACTTACTTGCCTTTACCGTGCAAAAAGGGATCCAAATGTATTTAGTAGATTATTAGAACTAAAGGATATGTTGTTGTTGTTGTTTATTGTTGATATCTTAAGGTGTTTTACGGTTTCGTTTGACAAAAACTGTGAAATCGCAAAATGAAGTTAAATCAACTTACGAGCTTTTTTCTTTAAGTCAAAAGAATAAACGCAGTGGAAAATGTCAGCAGCCGAATTTTTCAAGAATTGGTAAACATTAATAGCAAATATCAATTTATTTCTGCATTTCAATAACCGAATACCATAGACAATAACAAATAAATAAACCAATATTAATACCACAGATAATACTGAACGATAAGTACCACAGATACTAGCAGAAACACAGACATGCTATCACTTCACTAATCAAACAATAAATTCCGTAGCACCAAACAATACTTGTTGAACCAACACGGTTACGTGGTAAATCGCAAACAATGGCTGCTACATTTAACCATGAATGTACAACTATGTGCGTCGAGACATCATACATAACAAGTTAATTAAATTGACTCATCCCTGCTTAGATAAGCACGGTTTTAAATGACAAGTGATAAACTGATCGATTATTTACCATCTGTGTTTTACAAAAATAGCTTTACAAAATTACACATTTGTTTTTCGATATAAAAGTGAATTTAAAATTCAAAAAATTTCAGACGCGAATACGCGATCACGTTACAATTAAAATAACATAACTACGAACTTTCGAATTCGTTAGGCATCAAAAGAGTGCGTTTCCTATCAATATCATCTACCATCGTATGCTAATCTTCTATTTTATATTTCGTGTCGCTTTGACGTATAAATATCCTGCTGGCGAGCACAGGTTTCCTGTCTCAGAGGAATGTTTAAGAACTTAGACCTACCACCACATATTTTAACCTATGATTGCGTCATTGGTCTTTATTTGTATCATCATTATCAGTTCGGTTATTTTTTATCACTTTACATAAGCCTTCAAGAAACGTTCTTTAAAAACATATTAATGCTCTAGGTCAGTAAGTACAAACGAGTCTTTTGGAGTCGAGAATGTCCGCTAATTGGAAGAGTGTGAACAAGATTTTTAAAGAAAAGCAAGATCTTCCGGAGTTCCGGGGTACATCAGTATTTTAATTATAGTAATGAGACCCACAAAGACTAATAATACTAGGCTGTCTAGCGCGTTGATTACAAGCAAATTAATTTATATTTAAGATAACTATAAACAGTATTGAATATTCAAAGAAAGCCATCAACACTCAAAAAGGATGTACGTTCTTGTCTTACTAGCCAACATAACTAGATATTCAGGGATAAACCTTGCTAAACAAGTTTAAATATAAAGGCTCGTGTGAGCATACTGATCACAACATTTTCCTCAAATTAACAACGTGCCCGTGTTTAGTAATAACGAATGGGTGACGTTGCCGATACACATAATTAAATTAAGCGAAAGTCTCAGCGTATCTGCATCTTATGGTTGTCTAGTATCAAAAAATACAGTTAAAGAAAGGCTTCAAAGAAACTGCACGAAGGCTGCCCGGTCAGCCGTAAGGTCACTCACCCCGTGAATCTCGTAATTGTCACTGAAAACTGTAAACGTATAGCGCACTCACATCCAAATGGTTTACTGAACAACACTAATTGTTTTTTGATAATAGACCACTCTTGGAACACCGGTAAATACTAAATAATGTGATCGCGGTGACTCGTCAACCAGTCACCCGTCTCTGTCGCACTCGCGCTGTGTTGCTAGCTTCGAGCGCTCGATCTCCTACGCTTAATTGACAGGCTCATTATTTAATGTTGTGTGGTTTTTTAAACCTCTCGTTTACTGAAAAGCTATTAAACTTAAGAGAAACGAGATCGTTTTTACGTTCAGGAAAACATTCTTATAGAAGCAATATATAAAATTAATTGAACTTTGTACAAGATTACTAATTGATAAGATTGATAATTCAATGAGATATTATTAATCTTATTGGAATCTGATTAATTTTAATGTCGTTTATAGCGTATTAATGTGGTCAGAATGGATTAATTAAGCTAATTTAATGCATAACAGCAAAGTTATTTAAAAGCATTCAATTAAACTCTAGATATAGCATAGAATGAATGCACACATGTGGCAACACAGCTTGAAACCTCAAAGGCTGTGTCCAGCGAAAATGGAGAACATGTTCACTTAATTTGAAATGGTTTCAACAACGGTATTACTCACTGACTAGAGAACCTTGTCTAATTAAATTCCTGTCGTAGTGTTAAATGTATGGACCATACTGCCTGTATATTTTGTTTTTATATAGACAGTACGCACTTGTAAAAGCTTAGTTCATGATACATGTTAAATCGATTGGTTTTTCTATTCACTGTATTGTGTGGAATTAAGAGAATTAATTACATTATTGCAAAGAGTCCTACAATGATTGTATTAACAACAGTCTGAAAACGGCCAGGGATCATCTGCTTTTATTTTATTATGTCTATATAATATGTTCGGAAACTTTTAATTGTTTAAACCTTACTCTGTTTTGCTGCAATAATTATCATCAACAATCGCGTATTTTTGTTTATAGTACGATGTGCTACTTCATAGTTAGAGAAAAAATTCAAGGCTAATTATCCAATCTTAGTTCATGTAGTTATTTAGACATTCCCATTAAAATCCATACATAGAGTAGTCAAATTTTAGCGCCTGATAAAATATTTACAATATTTACGTCTGTAATTAGAAATGCCAAAATAGAATTTGTTCCCAGACGTTAATATATCTACAATCTTAGGTAATAATATTATCATTTGATTTGATCAATGTGATTATGAGCGTAGAAAGAGCATTTAAATACTTACAAAGTTTTGTTTCACTGCGTCTCTTGACTCGTAGCTTTATGACACACGACGAAATACACTGGAACAAATAAATATGTTAATGGAAAAATTAAGATTATTTTATCTTACATTTCTTTTCAGATAGTAAAGTTATATTAAAAACATTCAATATAATTTTGTATAACAAAATACTTAGTATTCTACATCACGAAAATATTCTAGAAAACATACGAAAATAAACATTAGTTTATAGAACAGATTCTTTACAGTCAATGATCTATATTAAATTATGCTTCTAGTAAGTTATTGTAATTATTTAACTCAATTTTTTTCCTCCAAATAGATAGTATTACATATTACCAATCTTAAGAACTTGGTTTCACAGATTATGTTATGATATTTCACTGAAGATCATAGGCCTAAGTGTTTGCTGGTATCACCACTAAACAGCCTTTAAGTATTGGCGCATGTCCAAACAATATACAAAGCTACAAGTTTGACTTGATTATCTCCATTGGAATGAGATATATAGTGCGATTTAAATGCGTAAGCATGAGATCATATTAGGCAAAGTTTTCTCTCATATGAAGAGAAGGCTATATATTAAGTAAAATCTATATTTGTCTATCCTTAGAATTATCGATTATGTACCCATAGATTAAGTAGCCAGTTTATTTAATTACCTTTCAAAAAAAAATTTCTACAAACTACGAGCTGTTTACAAATTAATATTAGGAAATGAAAAGATTATACCTATGTTTCTTATATTTATCTCCTGAAATCTTCGGTGAACACTTCGGAAACTACACAAGTCATTAAAACTTTGTGAATTGGTCGCTTACCTCATGAATATGACTGAGCACCTCCGTCCGAGACATATCTTCCAATCTGGTTTCGTTAACGTCCATAATTTCGTCAGCCAGCTCCAAGTTGTCAAAGTTACCCGCTGATGGTGAACCTGAAGAGGCAATACAGACTGCAGAAAGACACGACAAGGGAGTAACATAGACCTATGGTAGAATGGACCTATATTATAACAACCATTTTGAGCTTTGGCGTAAGTGGGGATTTAATTTAAAATGAAAGAAAACTAATTGTTATTTTGGTAAATACGATCCCGAATTAAGGTGACTACATCTAAACGACAAGATGCTCTAATCTAGTAATTTCTATTGAGACGTTTTCTATTTCTGTTCAGGTAAAAAGTGGTATGTATATTACATATCTACGATTTACTCGATGGCATGAAACAGTGATGATTTATAGCTGACCCAGGTCAGAAGCTATTCATTTTGTTGGTAAGATATTTATAGTTCGTGAGATATTGTACTATAGTTGCCCATAAAATCAATATAGGTAAAGTTGCTTACCATATAACTTAATTTTATTATCCTTAGTCTGCACTACAATGATGACGTAGCCTTCCAAATCCACGGATTTACATTTCACAGTAGTCACTTTATCAATCGCATTAATTTGCGTGGTGGGCGCATTGAATGTGTTCATCTTGCTAATTTTGTTGATAACGCGAAAAGAAAAGCCGGTTATTTCATTCGCTATTTCTTTTTAACCCGTACCAGCATTTCTCCCAACACCATTTCAAGTATTTCGATCCGATCGGTGTTGACACGAACATTTTGTTGCATTTTTACTAACCCGGCGGTGTTTCGGCCATTATTTTAATATATTCTACTAGTTCACTCGGTCACTATGATCTATTTTTTAATATCATGACAATATGATACGACCGCGGCACTTATTTGGTGTGTTGTTAAAATTAAGAAGTAATTATCGGTTATTTTTATTGTAGGGGCGATGTATTGTCGAATTTTCCTCCGTTTCGCACACGGATTGTGATTTAAGGCTGATTTCACTGGTTCTTCGGTATTTCTTAACGTTTCGCGGCGTATTTAAGCGAGTTTTCGGACGGGGACTTAAAAGCGCATTATTGGTTTGTTAAAGTTTAGATTTTTATATATTTAAGCGTGTTTTTGAGGTTCGGAAGCGGTCCCACGTCTCGCTGGCAGGGTGGTCGCCGCGAATGGATACGTCCATCCCATTTTCGCGCGATCAATAATGCTCCCTACCCAGCATCCCTACAGACATTCACGATATTCACTGACGTCTCAAATAAAGAAATATCACATAAAAATTAGTTTTAGTTACATTTGAGAATTACTATAAGTAAAATGTAATAAAATTGGTTTATTATTTCATAACAAAATCAAAAGAGTAATTCGGTAAGGTCCCACCGAGATTTGAACTCGGATCGCTGGATTCAAAGTCCAGAGTGCTCACCATTACACCATGGGACCTGATGACCTCATTGCTTAAATAAGCGTTACGTATCAATAAAATGTATAATTTGAAGCAAAATAATGGCATTATACATAAGCAGAACAATATTATGTTAAACATAGTTCGATATGGACAGTATTTATAAATTGGTGCAGATAGTACCTACACACGGCAACTGGGAAAATTCTATATGGTTTCTTAAAACGCCCTCTCGTAATCGTGTTTGTAAACAATAGGCATATAGGACTATGATACAGACTTTAATACGAAAAAAAAAAAAATACAAGGGAAGTAATATATTAATTCGTAAAAGTATTTAGATAATAATATGAAGTGAAACCATGTAGCTTTCGTAATTATATTATACCTTTAGCTTTCATTGCCAGCATACAAAAAGTTTGTATAATATTTGTTATAATTTTACTTAAAGGGCAATCATTCGTATGACAGTTTGTCACTGACTTCGCTGTAGTAAGGTTGTCATTTCGTCCATCTATAGAAGAACGTGATAGATGAATGGGAATTGAGAAATAATTAACATTATTGCAGCGAAGCTAACACATATTCTCCTTACGAAAACGACTAACCGGTGCATATTAAAAATAAAGAGTCCGCGGTGAACGTCCGTAGACACCGCCATGATCGATGTGGAAAACAAAGATGGCGGAATAATACGGTGATCATAACCAAACGTTGTGGATCGTCGTAGTTATGTGCGTCAGTGGGCGGAGGTCGCAGCCGTGTCGCGACGCTTGAGCGGCGGAGAGCCTGATGGTTCGGCCGGGGTGATGCCGCCGCGGCCAGCGGCTATGGCGGCTGAGGAAAACCGTCCGCTCGCTCTGTTTACCGCCGTCTACGACTACGTAGCGCAGGGGGAAGACGAGCTCTCCCTGCGCCGGGGCGAGATCGTCGAAGTGCTCTCTAAGGATGCAAACATATCCGGTGACGAGGGCTGGTGGACGGGGAAGATCGGCGAGCGTGTGGGCATCTTCCCCGCCGTTTACGTGACAGAGGAGGACCCCCTGGCCGTCACCTCTGTCATCGGAGATGTGGATCCCCCTCGGGTGTCCTTCTCCGAGCTAAAGTTAGAAGAGGTGATAGGCGTCGGTGGATTCGGGAAAGTGTACCGCGGATACTGGAACGACGAAGTGGTCGCCGTGAAGGCGGCGCGCCAAGACGCAAATGAGGACATCGAGGTTATCAAGGAGAGTGTGTTGCAAGAAGCAAAACTGTTTTGGATGTTGCAACATGAGAATATAGTGTCATTAAAAGGTGTTTGTTTGGAGGAGCCGAATTTGTGTTTGGTGATGGAGTACGCTCGAGGTGGCCCGTTGAACAGGGTCCTGTCGGGGCGGAAGATTAGGCCGGGTATTTTGGTGGACTGGGCGATACAGGTGGCCCGCGGGATGGCGTATCTCCACGTTGATGCGCCTATATCACTCATTCACAGGGATTTGAAGAGTTCAAATGGTTAGTGGAAGCTTTGTTTATTTATTTCGCTGCTGCATTGTTATCCATTATTGTTAGCTGTAATAGGTACTATCCACGTCCTCCAAGGAAGGGCTTTGCCATAAAACATGCTAAACTAGTAATAAAATGTGATAGTTATGGAAAAGTACAGAAGTATTTTTCCACATAGTCTTTAATGCCCTAGATCTAATGTTCTACGGTTTTCCTATTACTGTCTTATATTAGTCTTAAATTTAAAATATTAGTCCTAGCAGTAGATAGTTTCTTTTCCTGGAAGCGCTATGCCTTCATGACAGGATATTAGTGTTAAACAGACTCTTAAGCCTACTTAATAAGTGCCATAAAATAAAACACATTGCGAAATCATTTGCAACCTTATTCCAATTAGCATTAAATGAGATAGCGAAGGGTCAAAGTCCGTAAGAAATGTCTATCAAACTGCTTAGGTATTTAGAACTATTTTATATTTATTATCTTATCATAAATCTTTATTATAGCTTCAATTATGAGTAAGACATTAGATAGTATAAAATACAAAATGTATCAGTTAATTTTTTTTACAAATTATATTAACTATGGTCTGACAATTCATGATGTTTAGACAGTAGTTAAGACAGTAGAAGTATTTAAATCTCATACTACATCTGATACTAAATGTATATTAATTTTTTTTTATTGTTTGTAACCTTATATGCTATAATTTTTAAAATTTGTTTCAATGTTGATTTTCTATGTGGCTTTGTATCTTCTTTCTTTTTAATTTGGTAAAAATGCCAATACCTCACTATTGGAAAAAAAAGATACAAAATAAACTGCTGAACAATTCTCTTTTTAGAGAATTTCAGTCGTCCATTCACCTCGACTTCCTTAGTATAACAATAGATTACTTACTGTAAGGTTGACAACCTGATAACAAATCCTTGGCGGTATCTCTGAAGGTTACATCCTACTTATTGCTATCAGACAGGAAATGAGTGCATACTTGTGATTGCTCGTCATGTATTGACAAGGCTTCATACAAATTAGCGTGTCTGTGCCCATCTCTGATATAACTATTTATAATTATTTTATGTTGTACTTATATGTGTGTGTGTTTGAGTGATGAATTTGCATAAACAAGATGAGATTTATAATTTTCACATTGACTTGTTATTGCTTAATTTTTAGACTATGAGCAAGTTTATTTTTATACTTCATGAAATAAAATTGTTAAACAAAAAAAGTTAAAAAGACAATGATACCTTTCATAATGTTTCATGCCTTAGAGTTTAGTTAATTGTGTCATACTTTTTAAATTATAACCCACAATTTATTTTATCTAAGCTTTGGCTGTCTATCACATCTTAGAATTAGCTCTGTCCTACATGAAACTGGCAAAAGGCAGCAGGCATAAACAAACATTTCTTTCACAAAGGCCATTCATAAGTCAGCTAACAAGACCCTGTCACATTTGCAATGTCGCAGGCTCTTATGCAATGCGCCATATTGTTCAGCCCACTCAAATCCAAAATAATGTGCACTCCTACATTGAATATCAATCAAAGTTGAATTTTAATAATGTTTTATGTGAACCTGTAAATGAAAATTTTACAAATTGTTGGGAACAACATATTTCAATTTAGGACAATGTGATACTTTAGGATTGAAATAATGTAGACAAACACTTTTAAATCAATGTTAAAGTAAACCTTTTGCTAGGTAAAACCTAGCCTGCTAAATAATAATTAGGTAGATGGAACAGATGTTTCATTCAAAATCTCTTAAAACTTAAGTTCTCACTTTCTGTCTCTTGTTGAAGAGTTCATGTATTTTTGTAAATATTTATGTGTAACATTGATTTAAAGATGGTTCGTGATCTTCCACAAACTGAACGAAGACCTGTCACATCTAATGTAGTTCTAAAGTACACAAGAGGTATTGCAAAGTCATAGCAATATTTCAAAGACAAGGCGAAGACGCGAGTCGCGCCCCGTTTGCTAATAACCTACCCCTCCCCACCCGTTGCGAACTCCGACCCAATCAGCTGAAAGCTTCCGGTTTCCCCTTTCTTGCGGATTGCACCATTAGTTTGATGTTTTCACAGCATGACGCGTTTCTATCTAACTTCTATCTATCTATATTAGGCGTGTTAACGGGCTCGTTGGTCTAGTAATAACCATGTATGGCGGATTGTGGGTTCATTATCCAACAGCTCCAACATGTTGGTTGTGATGGAGGAATATCACAATTCCGTCCGCGTCACGAACCGACGTCCACATACAGAAAAGCCAGGAAGCTTTCATTTCAACGCGTTTCGGTTGTGGATTTTCGAATATCCAAAGCTACAATAGGCCGACAGCGCATCTTGTTAATATGCTATATATCGCAGGGGTATTTAACCTATCACCCTCGCATCATAAATTAAAAAAATCATAAACGACTCGTTAATACATGTTTTTTTACTACTAGAAGATTTTTTCTGTATGTAAAACTTATAATTTAAATAAATTAACTTTTCACTATCAGTGTTACAAAATAAACGCTTTTTTCTTGTGAGTAAGTTACTTCCCGATGTTTATTGCTATAGTAAAGTAAAAGCTGTAGGGGTGGGTAGGTAAGTTTCGCGAATAGCACGCACAGTGGTCGCGTAATGAATGCACGGAATGCGTAACGTGACATAACAGCCCTACCGACCAGCTGGCGTTAATGACACGCTGCGAATTTCAGGCACCTATGTGGTCAGGGGTGCGTAACGTTTTTTAACCTCATATATTTTGCATTTTTCTCATTTGTCGCGCAGGACCTTATCAATACTGACCATCAGTTACTGGCACCTTTTGTTGTCTACCTTTTGGTAAATGAGGATTATACATAAAATCTAATAAGATAGAAATACATCCTTGAAATTACATTACTGTCCGTAAAGTATATTAAGGCACTTTATTTGAGACAATTACATAATAATAAATTGAACTTTAAGTGTGAGTTGCTGGTTTTTTCCTAAGCCTAGAATATATTATTATAAAAAGTAACAAACATCTCGTATAATACTGGAAAACGCATAGATTTACCCTTTCCCCCGTCCCGGTTTGTCGACCCTGCGCAGGAGCAACACGAGATGTTTCACTAAATTAAAGTCAATTTGCATCGCCATTTTTGGTCCGGCCGGCGATTTTAGTGATGGCCGATGATCGTGCGCGCGGGACGAGAGTAATTTATTATGATTTATTTGGATTTTTTTGCTTGTAATAACGTCTTTAAACTTTACGATATAATCGCGCGTGTTGCGTTGAATTGAAATTATGTGTTATTAAGTTTGCGCGCTTAAATTACCAACATTTTGGGTATCGTGTGTTGTAAGCATCAAGAGTTCTTCGATTCGACTAACTACGCCCTGCGGATTTTCTTCGGTTTAATATTATTTTATGGGTCGTGATAAAAAAGCCTGCAGATAAACAATCGATTGAGACAAAAATAATCAGCTAAAAGTAGCTATATAAGACATTTTATCAGACATTAATAACTTTAATTAACGTGAATATTTTAATTAAACTATTATGTAAGCAGCTTTCAGTATTCGAGTCAAAAATGCGTTCTTGAACGGCTTTAAGGTGGCACAAGCTAAAAAACAGTGAAACGTAAGTGGCTTAACACGTAATGTCGATCGTTAAGTTTTTCACCACATTGCGTTATCGAAGCTCGAGATATTTTCGTGGTAATTTTCCTAATGAGCCGAACGTGCCGACGGCCAGTGGTCGCCACCACGACACATTAACACATTTATCGGGGACCTTGCACTTTACGATTTGGAAATTGTAAGGCACACCCAACGGGCTGGGCTGATCATGGCTATACAGCAGCTTGCCCGTTAACAGTAGACATCCATCAATTGTAATCACCAATTTTAAGAAGGGTTACCATAAATATATACCATAAGTATTTTAACAATGGTAACGTAATAGACATTATTTGTTTTCTAATAACAATAATAATATTTAAAAAAATACCCTATAAGGAAATCTTTATCTGTTCAAATTATTGTTTGTATATTTTCTATTTGAATTTAAATAGAAAATATACATTGTTCCAAATTAAAGCCAACTTCTTTAGGTAGCTAATTGCGCAATTTTTGTTTACAGTGGCTCTTGCAACTGTTATCGCAGCTACACATGCCTGTAATTGGTCGACAATTATTCCAATTCACGCAATGGGGTGGTTTAGTTGGGGTTGACGCGATCGCCAAATCTAGATAGCGCTTACTAAAAATACGTGTGACGTGCAATTTTACCCTTACAATTAAAGTAAAAACCATTAAACAAAACCCTTTAAAGTTTAAGGAAGCCACCAAAGCTATTACTGTACTTTCAATAAGCTGAGCCTCTTGGCGGATGCGCTGTTTGAACATGGCACTGTTTGAATCTATAAAATCAAATATTTCGTTTTGAGCCATTTTCACAACAACGAAAAAAAAACACAATATACAATGACAATCAACGAACAACGATATCAAAGCGTAGAATTAAAATAAAAACATGTGCTTTGATTTCCTTCTCTTTAATATTCTTGATCGCGGATGCCAACACAAAACTATGTATGTACTTTCACTTTTTTAACATCTCGCCGTGGGTACTTCAGAGTAGACTTAACGTTGAAGATTAGTTGTAATGTCGATGTTACGACAAAAATGGCAATTCACCAGTTCTCTCCTTTTTAAAACCGGCGAATGTCATTATAGAATGTTTCAAAACACTTTGATCATTCGGCACACGCGCCTTTATGTCAATATTATGGTAATACCAGATCGAGTAGTTGTTTGACAGGCCTCGGCGTGTCGTGTGGCTCTACCTACTGTACATATTACTCGTGTTTAGATGGGTGGGATGGGGCCTACGTTAGGGTTTTCTAGATACACGGTATACCTTTCCAAATGTTACCTTTATCATATACAATTTTACAGAGGAAGATAGACAAGCAAGATGTGAAAATACTCTAGCCATATAAGATGGTAACATTAGGCGCTG